TATTTAATATGATATATTTAATAGGATAAATAGATAATAGGATAAGTATTTACCAGCAGGACAAAATCGACCTTCTGGTCCAGCAAATATAGCTAAATTTTTTTTTACAGGTACAGTATCATCTGCTAAAGTAAGATGTGAAGGTTGATCAGCTTCGTGATTCGTGCCAGTAAGTGCTACAGATGATAATAAATCAAAAGATATTTCATTATCCGGTTTTGGATACTCTATTGGAGTACATACAGTTGCTGATTGTAATTTTGTATAATCTGGGCCTAAAAGTTAATGCTAATATTAATTTCTACTTTTCGTTTAAATTTTGATCTTGTTATTCAATTATTGTACCTCCATGTGATAAAGTCCATGGCTCTCTTCCTCCAATTAACATTGAAAATCCAGAATATAATAAACCTCCATAGAGACCAAATTTTGTATGAAAACTTGGCCTAATATTTCTTACAGCTTTTAACTCTTTATAAATCCAACTATTCTGTATTTTTTCAATATAAGTTTTTGGTTCTAAACCTTTTGTTGGTGAAGGATTATTTTCTGCATCAATTAAAGCTTCGATTATACTTTCTGCAGCAAGCATTCCACTCTTCATAGCATTATGTATTCCTTTGATTTTAGGTACATTGAGAAATCCTGCTGTACAACCAATTAGACAACCACCAGGAAATTGAAGTTTAGGAAGAGATTGAAAACCTCCTTCTACCAAAGCTCTTGCACCATATGCAATTCTAAATAGAAAGCAAAAATATAAAATTTAATTGAATTTAAATATTTATTGCCATAAATTAGATATTAAGAAAATTAAAATTAAAATATCCAGAATAATTCTTGCTATATTTTAATTAAAGAATTAAAGAATTCAACAAGAATTTTTTTAGGTATTTGATATAATTGAAATTTTTGCATTCACAAATTTTACCTTTTCCCTCCTTCAAGTATTGGCCTAATACTTGGATGTTGTTTAAATCTTTGAAATTCTTTAAATGGATGTAAATAAGGATTAGAATAATCCAAACCAATAACAAAACCAATAGCAATAAGAGGTGTATCTTCATTAAGATAATATAAAAATGAACCACCATAAGTATCTTTTTTAAGTGGCCAACCAATAGTATGTTCAACAGTGCCAGGTTTATGTTTTTTTGGATCAATTTCCCACATCTAATAACATTTGTTTTTATTTTATATTTTTCAAACTATATTAAAATGCAAAAAAAATTTAATTTAATACAAATTACTTCTTTTAATCCTATAGCATAAGTTTGTGGTTCACAATCTTTTCTGAGATTCAATTTCTTTGAAATTTGTTTTGTAAGATGACCATGACATCCTTCTGCAAAAATGGTACATTTTGCATGTAATTCCATTCCACGTTCAAAAGTATCTTTTGGTGATCCATCTTTAGCGATACCAACATCATTCGTAGCTATTCCTTTAACAGATCCATCTTCATGATAAAGTACTTCTGCTGCAGCATATCCAGGATATATTTCTACACCCATAGCTTCAGCTTGTTCCCCAAGCCAAGTTACAATATGACCTAATCTGAAACAAAATAATTAAAAAAAAACATCTTGAATATTATTAAGATTAATTTTATTATATTAATTATTATGATTTTATTATATTAATATTTTATTCATAATTTATTACCTAACTATATAGTTCCCATGATTATACATTGGCATTCCTTTTAAAATAGGTATTGATAATCTATTCTTTTCAGTAAGAAATGCAAATTTATCTTCTGTGACAGGAGTATTTAATGGAGCACCTAATTCTTTCCAATTAGGAAATAATTCATTTAAAGCTATTGGATCTAAACAAGCTCCACTAAGAATATGACCACCAATAGTAGGAGCTTTTTCAACAACTGTAACTTTTACATCTTTTCCATATTTTTCTGCTAATTTACGTGTTTGAATTGCAGCAGATAATCCTGCTGGACCACTTCCCACAATTAAAATATCAGTTTCATCTATATATCTTTCCATATTTACATCTATAAATCATTTAATATTTCAGTTTTATAATTCATTATTAATAACTCATTATTAATAAATATTAATATAAATTTATATTTATTATATTTAATTTCATATTTATAAATCATATCATCATATACCTTTCCATCTTTGATCTAATTCTCTTGGTACAATAGTATAATGAGTTGTAATTTTTGGAAATTTTTCTTGTGAATAAACTCTTTGAAATATCCATTGAAACTTCTGTACTATCAAGAAAATAAGAAATTAATAATATTAATAATTAATGCATTTTGTTTAAAATTTTCAATTGAAAAACGAATTCTTAAGTTATACTATATTATTATTAATATTAATATTATATTTAAATATTGACTAATATTGTATACATATATATTTTAAATATTTATAGAATTTTTTAAAAATATATCATATATTTATATCATATTATTTTGTTTACCATGTTTAATTTGACAAATTATATAATTATAAATGGATCAGTATAACAAACAAATGTAACAATAAAAATTTAAAGAAAATCTGTCTGATTATCACAATATATTTCCACTTATATTTTTATATACATAATTAAAAAATTTATTGCAATATAAAAAATATATATAATTGATGTACAATATAAAAATATGTTTATATGAATGCATATATATGTATATCATAAGTCTAAAGTTCATTACAATTAAATATAATATTAGATAAGAGTATGTATATTTTTAATGTTATTGTAGTTATAATTATAATAAAATTATATTATATAATAATAATAAAATTAAATTTAACTAATTTTTGGAAAATTTAATAATAAAATAATATTTTTTATATAAGAACACAACATATATATAACATATTTAATATAAAGAATTTTAATATACTTTTTATAGAATCTTATAATTATAATTATATGTTATAATTATATTTATCTTATTTAATTAATAATAAAAGATATATTAATAATTATTTCTGCGATTTTATAATTTAGAATTAATTATCATAAGAACTACAATAAATTATAATATAATATATATATTTATATTATAATATATATATTTTTATTATTAGCATATATATAATGAATTTATTATAAAGATTTTTAAAAAATATTATTAAATAAAAACAAATTTTAATTTTATCATATATTGAATTGAATTAATATTATCAATAGATTATTACGATTATTACGATTATTTAATGTATTAAATATCACTCGAGACATAATTACACATCACTACGAACGAACTGATAATACTATACTGTGTTACTATTCAGTTACATTATATATGCTATATTAACTATTGCTATAGATCAAAATTGCCAAAACTAAAATTATCAATAAATCTTGAATTTAATTCTTTTGAATATAAATATATATATAATTTAAGAAATTTGTTTTAATTAATTTCATATCTAATATAATATAATAAAATTAATGAAAACTAAATTATCTAATAATGAAAACATAAAACTATGAAAAATCATTCTTATTGAAAATTATTCTTATTTCATTTTATAAAATTTACCTAATATTTATTATATTTTATTTAATAAACAGTTAAGACAATCGCTTCTTTATCTAGTCCAATTTTAATAAAAGTTTTATCTAATCCATTCTTAATAAATTCAAAAACAAAATTACATTAGATGAGTAAATCTACATTATATGAATTGACATATACATATACACATAAATGTATATAAATTAAGCTACATCTAGATTATTAAAATTTTACATAAAATATTTTTTGTCTAATAATACTTTGTTTTATTTAAATAAAATCTTATAAATATTGATGTGATTCGAACATTCGAAATTTTTAAAAAATCGAACATTTCGAATTTTTGCTAATTCTAAAATATTAATTTTTTATTTAGCAATATGTTTTAAGTAGTTTAATTATATTATATAATTATAACATATATTTATATATAAATATAAATATATATAAATAAATATAACATATATAAATAATTAAATATAAATAATTATAACATATATTTATATATAAATATAAATATATATAAATATATGTTATAATTATATAATATAATAATTATATTTTTATATATTTATATATAAATATAATTATA